GAGACCTGGTCTTTTAAGTGACGGGAGGGTCCACAGTCATTACTTTTGACCAGTTGACTCCCTTGACTGTGTATTACTAACCCAGTACAGCCTGTCCCGGACACCCTGTCTCCAGCATCTAGCACCACGCTTCTTCAGCACTTCAAAGGAGCCAAAGCAAAACTATCACTGTAAAACCAGGTCTGCCCAAGGTGTCTTTGCATTGCAAATTCCAGCAAGCCGGATGCAGCATCTTGACTACCATGAGAACAGAGTGAGGGCGGCCATTTTAGAGGCAGTAGGTCCTACCAGATTACTGAGCAGCTGTAACACTTTAAACAGTTCCTAGACATAGTACCCATAGATAATACTTAATCCTGTTAAGCATTACCCTTACCCATGGATGGTGTTTGTATTGGTTCATAGCATCTCCTGGTAGTGCTGCACTTTAGGAAGTATTTAAGACAAGTTTAAGACAAGCATTCTTTTTTGTGTCTAACAAAATACCTTTTTAATAAGTATAGGAATGAATAAGCTCTTCCTGTTTCAATCTAGTGATGTGCTAGCGTCATGTAATTTACATCTGACACACTTTCCAGGATTGACAGAGTCTGGATGTGAATATGTCCTTTGGCACAGTCAAAAGCACATAGTTTAAGTGAGGGAAAGAGAGTAATCTCTTTGCTGAGCTGACCTTATAGCCCAGTGTTTCTGGACCCATTATGTTAGAATAAATTAGAATAAAATGGAGGACCCTCAAACAGTTTCAAGGGACCGAGCCAGAGAATACGTCTTGATAGTGATGTCTTGGACATGACTTATGCTTTTTATTGCCTTCAGTGTCTATGTCCTTATTGTCTATGTTGGCAGTAGAAATGAAAGTAATGTAGGAGTAGCTTCAACAGCTCTGTACCATCAGAGGACTGCTTTTTTTGATAGAGAAATACTCAAGGTCCATGCGCCCTGCCTGTGTCGTCAAAGTCCTCTGGCAGATCTAACTGTAAATGGCTGGAGTGAATAGCCTGAGAAGGAAAGGAAAACATCTTCAACGAGATTATGGTCAACCTGACCATTTATATAATACACTGTGTTAAAAAAATATTGTATATTAGAGGCAGTTCGTGAGCTCAGTAGAAGCCTCAGACCTGCCAGGTTTGGGCTAGCAGTAAATAGAGAGAAAAAGTTCTACAGGAGGAAGGTAAATCCTATTTTCTGACCTATTTTATTTAAATTCTGGAAAAGAGAGCAGTCATAATCATGGAGGAATTACAAGAATTAAAAGTAGTCCTGACCCAGTCGGGTAGAAACAGCTACCACCAAAACTGGAGGAGGTTTTTGATCTGACATACCCAGAACTCCACATTAACCAGTCACGGTAACTTCAGATCTGGATTGACTCCCAGGTCTGAGTTGCAAAACTCTACCCCTGACATCACTACTCTTTTTTTCCTTGAATCAATACCAAGCTGCAGAGCAATTCCAAGGGAGACGACAGCACAGTGGTAATGTGCAATTGAGACAGTGATGCTGTATAGCACAGCAGCCCAGACAGCTGCAGTTCTGGAATGGTGAGACAAGTACACCATTTAAAAATGACTGATTTCAGGGGGTGTGACAAGTATACTCAGAAACTTTGTTCCGGTTCTCAAACTATTACTGTAGTTTCCACTTTAAATATGGAAATTTCATTTCTAAATTAGGAAATAACCTTCAGTGTGTACTCACTGTATTTAAAACATCTTGAAATTACATGGTCTACATATAGATTTTAGGCTGTCTGTAACTTGTCCTTCTAACTTTACTCTTTACAAGCATTTCAAATTACTGGGGCAGGGTGAGGGCCTTAGGATTAATTTGCCTTTTTTCAAAATTCTTCTACACAAAACATCAACACAAATTTTGAATCCTTAACAGGTTTTGAATTTGCTTTTTCTTGCTGCTTTGTTTATAAGCCTGCTTTTGTTTTGATTACCTTCAGAGATGTGTATTTTTACATCTTTTCCAGCTTCAATTCGGTATCTAACATATCCTTCTACAGAGGTTGAGAAGTACACACTAGCATTGTTATCATGTTATTTTTCATCAGCTGCAGACAATACAACTGCTGCTGCAGAGATGTACTAGGAGAAAGTGTATGATGAATGGCACACAAAATTATGTCACTGTGATGACTTTGAAGTGTGTAATAAATTCACCCCACAGAAATAAATCTCGGTGGGAGAAATGGCCCATGGAATATCTTTACCTTACACATGCACACACATGCATTACCAACAAAAAAAATCACCCAAGAAAGCCTTGGCTGTGAAGCACTAATTTGTATCAGATGTCCAAGATGCCCTAAGGAACTGAGTCCCTGGGACGTACCTGACAATCAGCCTGTCTAGGAGACACTAGATTTTGTCTCAGGGTGAGCTCTTCTCTGAATGTTTCTGTATCCACCTTTCCAAGGAGATGATCCTCACAAAATGCTTGGAATGCCCTTCCCTTTGTACAGACGAACTAGGACAAGACAGCCTAAGTATGACTCATTGTTATTATTTAAGGAATACTTCAAGGAGTCATTCCTTGTGCCGGTGCTTCTGTAGTTATCTCTCAGAGCTGTAAATCCACTACCACTGTCCTGCTTATTTTTACCCTTCTTTACTAAAAGGAGGGTGAAGAATTTGGACTTAAAATGACAAGCAAACCATACAGAAAGCTGTATGATAACTGCATGACCATTATATTTTGATTTTTTCAAATAAAAAAGGAAAGGAACCATCTTTCCTTTAGAGTTGATGCTGGAAAGACAAGGACTGAATGTCTTCATTAGCAACAGGGACCTAAATGGTGAAGCAGTAAACAGTGTGTGAAACAGTATGTGAAATCCCCTATCAAAATCAGTACCCTTCTCCCATTGACTCTGAAGGAATGGGGATTTAATTCCAAAAATTGAAACTGTCAGTCAGCAAGCAATCTGACTACATGAGGAAATGTAAACTAGAGGCAATGATGTCATACTGCTGAATCTAGGCCGGATATGAAAATTGCTTGAAAAAAACCATGTGGTAGTATCTTACTGCTATCTTTTTTTATAATAGCTTGCAAAAAAAGTATATAGTTTTTGAAGCTCATCGCAAGTTTTGAAATATAGTAGTTCATGCCGAGTATGACTTTGTTCCAGGAGTGGCACAAACAATGCTTGTTTTTCCAGTGTTGTGAGGGTATCTGAATCTGGTCCCGTGAAATTTCAGTTCAAAGTAAATCCAGATGGATTAAATCCAGAATACTGCTGAAATGCAGAGTGACTGGGGAAAAACAAAGAGGGAAGGAAGGAGTTTGGATTATATGACTGAAACAAAAGATATTTAAAACAGTAAAAGACAATTAAAAATATATTTATACTAAATTAAAACTTTATTGACTAATGTTCTCCAGACAACATGATCCGATGGACTATGGTTGCATACATGCAATGAAGTTGAACACAACAGTAGTTTAACATGGAATGTCAAACAAATTAATATAATGTATTAAATGAAACGTTTTATCTGTGTTGCTGCAAAATGAAACCAAGCTATGTACTTCCTTAGCCAATCCGTGTTCAGCTAAGAGGCTATGCATTTGAAGAAACTGGTAGATTTCTTTAGCATATATTTCAAATAAATTAGCTAGAATTGTACTCTTTAAAAATCCTTTCAACTTCACTTGCATTTCAAACAAAATCTAAGTGTAAACACTAAAGTTGCTAGAGCCATCTAGAAAGACCTAAGTGTCAAACTCGGAGTGGACATTACAGTTCAGTAAATATGAATATTTAGAACAAGAAAAATACCAGTTACTGCAAAAGTCATGTAGGCATATTTTATTATTAATCCAGCACAAAGCATTTATTCTAAGATTCTCACATAAAAGACTAAAGCTTGCTTACAGTACTACATTTTCTATCATTCAAGCATCATTATTACCTATCAGGGAGATTGGCGAGGTGACCTAATGGGTCTTTTCCACCCCTAACTTCTACAAAAGAAGATCATTCATGCCAGCAAGAACATGGTTCGCTACATCTTGGGCTTGATCCTGTGCCTTCGTTCAGGCAAAACTCTCACTGAGTTAAAAGAGAGATTTTCCAGAGCAAGACATCCAGGATTAGGCCCTTTTCTTTTTTTTATTTTAAAAAAAGCATCCATTCAGGATACATGGAAAATATTCTATAGAATTAAAAAAATAGAATGACATGTGCTTCACTTGCATTGAAGGAATCAGAGAATGTAAACACCACAGTGGCCCACATCTTCACAATATCCATGAGAAAGTGTCAACTGCAAGTAATCTGTGTGCGTTTACTTCTTAATGTATATTTCTGAGGGTGTTTTGTGTATACCTTTACCTCCACATACACACACATACGTACACCCTTCATATACATAAAGGTGTGATAAAATTCACTAAAAGGCAGTTGCTTGCCTGTCTTAACGCTTAAATCTGCAAGTGGCAGCAAACTGGGTTTTATATGATGCTAATTAGACTGTACGAGAGCAGCACACGAATATCACTGTGGGCAAGAGAGTGTGGTTGCTGGTTCTACAAGTGTGGAGCCACCCAGTTATGCACATCACACAATCTACCTGCATGAAGGGCTGGAAAAGCAAGTGACCAAAGTATTTCTTGGTGGGCCATGTCTGAAATTTGAGTTGAATGATTCAAAGGCTGTAGATTGTCCTCACAGGAGTTTTTTGACAAGCTGGAGGACCACATAGGAAAGTTTACCTTCAAAGTGCACTTTCTAAGAATGGAATGTTCTCGACAGGGAAATGATCAGAGGCAATCCTGGACTTTTTTGCTTGTTGAATAGGAAAAATGTTTTCATCTTCAGGCAGCACTTCACCCTGACAAATGTGAGTTCAGTTATTATTGGGTTTTAGCATTACAGAAGATTCTTTAGAAACAAACACATACACATACACTCAGATATTTACAGCCTTTCTAGAAAAACAACCCCCTACCTTAGTATTGACTACCTTTTTCCTTTTTTTTTCTTTTTTAGTACTTAAATTTTTTAAACCAGCTACATTAAATACCAATGTGTACTGTACCACCCCTCACCAACCCCACATCCCCCCCAAAAACCAGCAAGTATTTTAAAAGTTTGTTCACTTGTTTATGATTGTTAAAATCTCCTGCTTGAGACTGTTAAGTACCACCTCCACTCGAACAAGATCAGCACTGACTGCATCTTCCAATGCAGGTCGTTTCATAGTTGAGCAAGTACTGCTGCTAGAAGCTTAGATCTCCAGGTCGTCAGGTCGAGGCCTGCTGCTGGCTCGGCTGCTGGCTCTGCTGGGGGGCCTCTGGTCCACAATGGTGAGGGGCTGCAGCTCGTGTCCCGATGCCAGTTTTTTAGTGTTCTGGTGCTCATCAGAGAAGTCGAAAGGCTGGGCGTGCGAGTTGGAGATGGTGCTGCCAGCCTGACCCATTCTATTCTGCTCTGCACTGTAGTTGGCCCAGTTTTGCTCGCTAGCTTGCTTATTGTAGTTACGACAGGAGGAATTGTTCCTGTCTCCGGTAACGAGCTTGTACCCTGGGGGAGACATGGGAGACAAGGGGGCGGTCGGTGAGGAGCAGCCATTGTAATAAGCATATTTGGGGGAGCCACAGTCCTTGGAAGGGCTCATGGCACCGCTGTGGGAGTAGGGGTCGGTTTTCCCTTTCACACGATCCTTGACACCCTTGAAGAACACGTAGAAAAGCTCGATGATGTTCAAGGCAAGAGACACCAAGGACACAACCAGCATGAAGAGGATGAAGATGGTTTTCTCAGTTGGACGGGAGAGGAAACAGTCCACCCTGTGTGGGCATGGATCTCGCTCGCAGGTATAGATGGCGTTCAGGCTAAACCCATAAATGTACCACTGTATCAGCAAGAAAGCCACCTCGAAGACAGATTTAAACAGGATGCTGATGATGTATGTACGGAGCAGTCCCCCACGCATCTTCACTTTTCCGTGCTCTTCTATCCCATACTTGAATTTCTTAATTTCTATTTGCTTGAGGTGCATATCCACATTCACACCATCATTTTGGACCACCTTGAGCTCTTCTTCTCTTTTGTTCAGCTTCTCTTCTTTCCTCATTACATAGAACACATGCGCCAGGTACAAAAGGGTAGGTACAGACACAAATATGATCTGCAGAACCCAGAAGCGTACATGGGAGATGGGGAAGGACTTGTCATAGCAGACATTCTCGCAACCAGGCTGTTGAGTGTTGCACCGGAAAGCAGACTGTTCATCTCCCCAAGCAGATTCGACTGCTGTCCCCAATAGCAAGATTCGGAAAATAAAGAGGACAGACAGCCACACTTTCCCTCCTGCAGTAGAATAGGCTTGAACCTTGTCAAGAAGTTTTCCCAAGGCACTCCAATCACCCATCTTCACAGGATGCTGGCTAAAGAACGACACAAAGAAAAAAAAAGCAATGGTTAAGACAGAGCTTTAATGCCTTTGATATACTGAATGACAGGTCAATGCTAATAGAGCAGTGATGTCAGCTTTGTTTTAACTCGTGTTTTACAGGATCTAAGCAGAAACCAGACTTTTAGTCTTCAGGAGGAGTGGGACATCTGAGAAATTGACATATAATGCCTCATAGATGTGAAGAAAGAGGTTTCTAATTTAACTCCAGTTTTCAATAAGTCCATGACAACCCTTGGTTGCTGCCATGGTTGGCTCAGCTTCTTTGGTGTCAGCTTCAGTTCAGTGATCTACACCTACTCCAGGCAGGAAACAACTGTGACACACCGCCGAGGCAGGGTGTGCAAGTACTTTGCGGCCCTGCCTGAGAAAAGCTACGAATAAATGGAAGATTTCTCTTTCAGTGTGGCTTGTTCATGGCAATTTTAATGTTTACTCTTTAAGAGAATAAGAAAGCAAAACATAGTATAACCTAAATTGAAAAAGTTATCCTAAGTTAGTGTTAGGGTTGGATACCTGAATCCAAAACACAGTGCTATTCTAGCTATTGAGAAGAAAATTCTCTCTATCCCAGCTAAAAGCGGGACAAATTTTATCACTGCAAAATGTGTGCTAAACTTCCTACAGCAACATTAAACTGAGCTCTTGCACATCACTAATACATTTAAGAGTATAGTTCCTAATGATGCAAATTTTATACTATAGTTACTCAACTTCCCAAAAAAACTTATTTAAATAAAGTTTATACATTAGTATTTGCAGCACAGAGATCAAAGTTAGTATCCTTTACCTATACTTCTATGAAGGAACCGAAAATAGAAAATATATGAAGCACAGCTAAGCTCATGTTACCATATTGGAGGAACTGGTTTTCTGTTTATCTGTGGCTTGCTTAATTTATTGTAGTTTCAGCTTTGTATTTGCATCTTTTTGTATTTAAATTCCTTCACTTTGTTTTGAAAGGGGAAACAAAAAAGATTTAGCAGGAAAAAAAAGGTAAATGAGCTCTTTCTGTTTTTAAGGCAACTCCTGGCATGCAGTTTGCATTCCAAGTGTTGAACACTGCAAATTTAAATTGCCTCTCTTGACTTGAGTTTTAAAGTGCGCATTTCTGAGACACAGGCAGCTTCTCGGGGATATCTGGAAATACACAGGATGACATAAAAGAAATTAAATGGTTTACTTGATGTTCAAGATTCGTAGGAAAAACAAAGTTCACTATCGGATTTTTATCAACTCAAGAACAGCAATCCTAGCTGTGTAAAAACTTAAGTTTTTAACTTGCCCCACATGAACAAGCATGTGAAATCGGGCACTCAAAAGGAAAAATAATGACAAAATTTCCTTTTAAAGTAGATGCTGCTGGGTATAGGTATTTGTTCCGTGCATACTGAGTAATCCCTTCCTGGTACTAATAGTTTTAATAATGTCCAAATGATTTCCTCCCCACCGCATCATGGATATATTCCCTAGTGAAGGTCATTTATAGAAAAAGCCCTTTGTGGATAATTCATAAAATAGGAAATTTTAGCACCAAGGAGATTTTCTTTCAAGAAGCAGTGAGTCACTGGAAACACAAGATTATAAATCTGGCAAACTCAATCATAACAATAGATGCCAAATAAAAACACCCCGTTCCTGCCATCAGAGAGTAATGAGAGACAAGTGTTTAGAGTACTCGCTCTGATAGCTCCAAGATGCCAATTATCTTTGAACCCCTAAAAAATACCCCAGGGCCACTTCCTCAGTCTGCTTAGTCAGCCTGCTCTGAGGCTTACCGACAGCGGCCTGCAGACCCTTCCTCACGTAATTAGTTGTTCACGTGAATGAAGCCCCATCAAAGGATCAGGCCTGCTTCAGACTTTCACATCTGGAAGCCTCCGCTGGGAGGAGTACGCAGTGTGTTTATCTCTGACATATCCCTTCAGCCATCCCCAGCTGCAGTCCTTCCCAGGAAGGCTAGTTTGTCTGTATGGGCCGGAGGTGGCAGAGAAGCAGCCGGGCACACCAGCGCTGAGGTCTCTGGAAAGGCTGGAAGGAAATGTGACCACGTTCCTCCTCAGGCTGGGATTGTTAAAACAGAGCCTGTAACTATACAACACATGAAGTTTGTTTTAAAAGCAAGCTATTTGCTCCATGCCCTAGAAGTGGAAGGGGACAGAAGGAGCCTTTTTCAAGTAACAACTTCTTGATTTAATTAGTCAGCTTTCTGACGATTTGAAACTACTGCATTAACAGGCTCTCCTCAGATTCAACGTATTTTTTTACTGTCTAAATGTTATTTCAGATTGAAAGTTTGATTAAGAAAACAGAGGACATGTTATTTCTAGGCAGTTATGTGTTGTTTGTTTTTTAATTACTCTCCCCTCTGGTTTATTAATGCAATGTGATTTACTTCAGTTTTGACCTACTTAATCCCACACCTGCAATATTTTGAGAATTTACTACCTATTTTTTAATTTGCTTCAGCATGCAAAATTGCTGTTTCATTTATATCCTCTGGCAATATAAACTCCAGGAGGAAACATTCCATGCTTGAATTACTCATACATAGTTTTGAAAAGCAACTTTTTTTTAAAGAGATCAGTTACACGCTAGCCTTTGCCAGTGATAAAAAACCCCACATCAATTCAAAACATTGTACTGTTAATCAGATAACAACGCAGTGGCACAAATATATTATTCCTTTGCTTAAGTGGATTCTATTGCTTTATGAAACACAGTACTTTGTTTTGTTGTAGAGAAAATTCATTCATCAGATCTAACTTGTTTACTTTAAGGGCACCACTTTTATTAACTGATTACAGTATCTGTTTGCTAGATATAAAAAAGAGTTTTTGTATCAAACAGTTATTTAAGTATTCTAGCTTTGTAAATAGCTTGGAATGGATGGAAGATAACTTTTAAAAATAGTTCTTCAGCATTCTGGACTTAAACTGCTTTTAATACTTCCAAACGCCTTAATGAGTCCACTGAATGGCACAGGTTGACCTGATTGACCGGTACCATTTCAGTACTTCAGGAATTTAAGGATATGGCTGGTGGCGAGTACGTGCGTTTCACAACTTCTTACTGATTATTACATTAAAGGATTATAACCTTTTTGTGAGATGGACTAATGCCGGCCTACTAAACTCTTTAAAAGATGGATTTCTTCCAGGTCCTACTGTGTGTGGGTAAAGATAGGAAAAAAAGACATAGAACAGCAGGAGATATGACAGCATTCATCTGCATGAGTTTTGGATGACCACATATATAAGAAATTTGATTTGTAAGCCACAATTAAGAAATTCTAGAACTATGTTTTATGGACAGCATTCATCATGTCATCTGGTTCATATCTTCCAGGAAGAATAACACAAACTCAGTGCTGCAGTAACATGCCCAGGTCTGACTACAGTGTTAGAAGGTCACAAGCTAGTGGATGGAAGGGCAGTAAGGATTAGAGTGGGATCTAAAACGGGATTTTGCAGCTGAAGCAGTTGGGAAACAGGCTAAAGTTCTGGATTTCCTACCTTTCCTGCCTTTTTCTGTGTGTTCACACACACATAAATAGCCAACAAAAGATTCTGGACCTTGATCATCAATCAACTTGAGTAAGTTCCTGAAAGCAACCAGCATTGCAGAGAAAGCAGCTGAGATGTACAACTGGTGGGATTTGGATGGGGTGGAATAGGGAAGACTAGTTTTCTGAAATCTTACAAAAATAATCAGATGCCATCCAGACATTCCCCTGGAAAGGTATAGTTCATTTGCAGGTCTGCAGATGAGCTTCTTTTCCTTTCATCCACTGGACAAAGATTACGCACTAAATGGTTGCAGTAACTGGAATTTCAATGTGTCACAACTATGTGCTTTTCTCCTTGTCTGCTAGTATTGCTGGTGCTCAGCCACTAGTCCATAGCCTTCGCCTCTCCCCTGCTGTACCCTCTCCACCTAATTTAATTCTAAAGCATAGTTGCAAAAGGACCCAAGGCAACTGTAAGCACTTTGTTAGGTATCGTCTAGTCGTACAAGTCAGGTCTACCTTCTGTGCTACTGCCCAGATTCACCCCTCTCCTGACTCACTTCGGAATTAAGAGAAGTGCTGAATTCCCTAAGGGGGCCTCGTGGCCCTCTGATGCTCCTGCTTGTGGATTTTGAAATCTGGATTTCTAAAAGGTACGTGTGGCATAAACAAGAGACCAGGTGCCTCCGTGCGAGATAAATTCAGTGGGTAACATGCGGATGCAATGCCAGGGAATGAGGGAAGGACAGCAACGTATCCGATGAAAGAGAGACGTTGCTCAATGTCATCTAACCTTCCTCATGCCCACAGGAATCCTTGGCCTAAACCAACATTAATTTCAGAGACAAATAAAAATAATATTTTGGGCTTGCATAATAAGACCTGAGATAAGGTCACAGTGTTGAATCTGTTTGCGCTGCTGAATGTATGACCACTCAGATTTACGTCGCAAATCAAATCCCTCGTGTCCCTCTCTCCCCTCTCCTGAACTCAGCCTGCGGCTCACCCCTCTCCCATTCGCTTGTTTCCTAGGTATCATGGGTCAGCGCCAGTGTTTGGCTTTGAAGTTTTTCAAGGAAGCACTTCAGTAAACATCCCAAAGACTAGAGGCTTAAATTCTGCAGTGTAGTGTGCTGTCCAGATGTTAAAAATGGCAGGATGAAAGGCTTCACGCAAGTCCTTCGGCTCGCTCCCTGTGCGTGCACACACACGCAGACACCCACAGAAGCTAGGCACAAGGCGTCCCTAAGCCCATTTTTGTCCCCATTACCAGAGGTTTTTGTCATAAATCTCACATACAAAATCAAATGAAATTTCTCAAATTAAATATGCCACTTCATGGCGTTATCTCAAGGCAAAATGTGAGGATGCATGTAAGCGCACAATATTCTTGTTTAAGAGGAGAACGTGTTACTCGGTAAGATAAACTCCATGCTTCGTCTTTCAGCTCTTTTTCCTGCCTCCTCGTGTTGCTCTTTACTGGCAAGCAGCAGGCAACAATTGTGATAAGTAATCACTCCAAGTTAGCAATGTAAAAAGCTTTTTAGTTCTCCAAGAGATGCTGCTCAAGCATTCTTTTCCTCTGCATTTTGGTATTCAAGCCTTCAAGGTAATATAAAAGGAATGTGTCATATTGGGATTACGACACATATTGTGAATATTCTTGCACAGTTCTTCCAAGACAGCTTTTCATTTATATCTACCCAAGACTTTCACAGACACTGCCAACGTGGTAAGGCATATCATGATATCCCACATTCCTTCTCTAAAATCCCTCACCGAGGTTGCTAAAACAGAGTAACTATATACAAACCAGGTTAAAAATCCATAACCTACGTCTGGATTTTATCACATCTATTTTAAAATAAAAGGGGAAAACTTATCAGGAAGACCACGTGAAAGTCAGCACTTCAGTAGCTGCAGCATTTAACAAAGCACCTAATTAAGAACCTTGTTCTGCACAAACTATTAGGCATCATTCAGGATTTTCATAAAAAAGCAGAACGTGTGGGGCAGAAATACGACGCGCTCAGGACAAGGTCTCCCTGTTCCTAACTTCTGAAGAGATTTTGGTGCAACAGAGGAGACCGAAGCACACCTCGGGTGTTTTTTTTTTTTGTGTGTTTTTTTTTTTTTTTTTTAAAGGAGCTCATTTAGTCCGAGACAAGTACAGAGGAGCGATTTCACCCAAACACTATCAACAAGTCGTCAGCCCTGCAGTCGCAACTTCACTGCAGTTCCTCCTTCAGTGGAACAAGGTTAGAAGTTGTAAAAGTGTAATATTTGAAGAAATGTACCGAAATACGACAAAAGGAAGCAAAGAATTCCTACAAGTTTGAACTCAGCACTTGAAGAGAACTTAACGCTTTCACAGACGTACATTTTTAAACCAGTTCAACCATCAGCGCAATAACACAAAATTCTTTGGGTGGGAAAAAAAGTGTTTTCAGACAAAGTGATACACAAAAAGATGAAAAAAAGAAAACTTTCAACTTACCCTTGCGGATCAGCAGTGAAACTGGATCAGAATACTTCTTTGGAGGGTCAAAGTAAAATGGAAGAGAGCACGTTCAGGCACTCAGACCTGTCTATTTAAACTTTAAAAGTCTACTGCTGTTTTGTATTTTTCATCCTTCCTTCCCCACTAATGAAAGAAAAGTGCTGATACCTTGTAAAAGTTTTTTCTAACTTGGAACACTGGGAGAGCTTTTAACAAGTTTTCAAGCCTCTGACCGTGAAAGAGGAGGGGAAACGGAGGGGTGGCAGCCCGGGAGGAGGGGCGCTCTGCAAATGGAGGAGGGAGGTGGGGGAGGAGGGAAAGAACTGAAGGCACAGCAAAAAAACAGCCCGGGGAAAAGGAGAGAGCGGAGGCATGAAAGTCCACTCTTGCTGATGTAACAAAACAGAGAAGGGCAGTCAGCAGCCACCCTGTACCCCCACGCCCCCTCGGTCACTGAGGGCACCTGGGTGGCACTTCACTCAGATCTGGGCTTGGCCGGGACAGATGAAACAACTTTGCTTTCTGGTGTGCACCAGGAGTTTCGCTACAGGGAGAGGGAAAAATGCATTAAAGGGATTAATGGATAACCAGCATGAAGCTCCTGAATGCTGGGGCTGGACCGCATAGCTGCTGTCTCCATTCCCTCCTTGCCACTACACAGGAGAGGAAGCCCTCTCAAGCCCTCTCTACTTTTTGTTGTGAACACAGCTTTGTTTACGTAGGTCTATTTCCTTTACGTGCACACATGAAAGTACACACCAGGAGAAGAATGCTTGTTTCTACAGGAGATACCCATCACACTTTTTTTTTTTTTTTATTTTATTATTTGTGTGTGTGTATGCATGTGTCCATCCCATGGGAGAAATGAAGAAATGATCTCACATTTCAGGAAACTCTTTCCAGGAAACTTCAGAAAATAAAGCATAGTACAGAGAATCAATCTTCAATAGTGAGAAGAAATGCTCCTGATAATTTTTGAGCACCTTTTAGAGAATAAAAGCATGCTCTAAAACTGATCTATTCAAATAGAACAAAACTGGTTTGGCTTTGCTCCTGACCAGTCCCTGGTTAAACACCCCTTGATAGATGCCTCCTCTGTAGAACAGAGATTAATTTCTTTCTCTGCCTGTGTTAAGCTCCTCACACATGAAGTCCAAGCTGCATTAGGAATTGGTCTTGTACTTGTTTGTGTCAGGGGGTATTAGGTCCTCTGTGGGGCTGTTTAAGAGCTTCTCTAGAAGAGTTTGTGGTTAGATAGCTCTCAATGAATTTTCACATTTTGGGTTGTATCAGGCTCATTTAAGTTTCAATTCATGTTAGTCTCATGGGCTATTTCTGGGCTCAGTAGCATGGATGAACATTTTTTGCTCTTCAAAGGCAATAAAGGAGGGGAGGAGTCCAGTAATGGCCACTGAGAGGTTCCCAAATAAAGGTCCTCTGTACAGTTTCTTCTTGAAATAATGAATGTTACACTCTACAACACAACCTAGATGCTACTGCTTATTTTTCATGGCCCTTACCTACGGCTTTTCACACAGAATTCTCTGGAGAAGAGAACTAAGACAAGATCTTTGTAGAAAGATACTCAGCAGGGAGCTTTGAAGCTGGGAAGCAAACACACGGTCCTGATTCTTGCTCTGGACATGTTTGTAGCGGACCACACTGCCTCCTGTTTGAGAAAAGGAGCTAGTACACTGCAACTGTACACCTCCATTCTCTTTCCTTCAGCTACAGACCCAGATGGCTGGTTTCCCTAGCTTGCCCCTTTTCTTTTGATACTGGCTGTTAGTTTTGACAGCTTTTTTAGTTTTCCCAGTTGTCCAAGCCATATGGCAGAAAGAAACCTCTTCTTCATATTCTCTGAGTGTTAAGGTTGCTTTTTCTCTTCACAGCATGGGAGAAATTTGGCTTTGTCCTTAACACGCTATGGGCCCTTCTTCTTGATAAGGAAAACATTGTAATATACAAACCACAGCATTTCACTGCCTTCATGACTGTGGTATAGACAGTGAGCAGAGTACACATAATGCTACTGCTACTGCCCCAAAAAACAGTGGTTATTCTAGAGCAAAGTACAAAATGCTACCAACATGGCTACGTGCGTGCCAATGCTCAGACAATGAGATTTGGGATGTCACCTGCCCCTTAGGAAAGCAGAATTATGTCAGGAAAAAACCTTTGAATTATACCATGCTAGAATACAATGCTATCGTTCTCTGTCAAAGCCAGCAGGATCACAGGGTCCAGCTTGCCTGATCTTGCATTTTTCCATGTATCTTCCTGTACAGGCTTTGCAATTTTTCAAGCATTCTGTTTTTAAAACAAGGACTGAGAAGTATTTCTCCTCTTAAATAAACAAACAGTGTTTGTGAGAAGTCCAACACTCTTAAAACACACTTTGGAAAACTAAAATTTATATGTTAGTAACAAGGAAAGAATAATTTTGCAGCAATAATAACCATAACACTTGGCTTTGCTACAGCATTATCCACATGAAAAGGGAAAGTAATTCAAGTCTCCACTGTGATACTGTGTAGAATAAGGAATTGGTAAAAATGCCTTGGTAATGTCTTTTAGAGTTTGGAAATACATCTCCATGATCACGTTTCACAGCCTATTACCAGAACATATTCAGCTTCAGGTGTTGCAATGATCTACCGTTTCACAAGGTTACCAGAAAGTCTCACACTCTTTTCCATCACAGTGGAAATAAGCTTTTCAGATTGAACAAATGTCTCCACACACAACCCCTCTTCAACTGAAGCTGTGTTCAATAGGAAAGCAGGGGAGTGTCAGACCTGAGATATTTGCAAATCTGTTCTTAATTATGGATTAAGAGACAGATAAGAAGATCACAGTTAGATTTGAAGCCTTGTGGAATACAGACTCTTTTTATACCAGGAAACTGAAGATTTTGGGGTCCAGAGCTCTCTGGGACCTCTATTGCCATCCCCTGACATTTTGGCTTTTGGAGCAAACAGTGCTGTGCTGTGAAGCACTCTTTCAGCGTGGCAATGCTAGGACTGCAGAACCTGTTTGTCTTTGGTTTGGCAGGCTACAGCACAATCCGTAAAGGCATGTTCACACTGCAACCCAGACGCAGTGCTGGAGCCCAGGCTCCACCAAGTGCATCTCTGGAACTGAACCTTGGGGTGACTTCCACAGGATTTCTGTCCACTCTCTACTGAATCCTCAGCTGAATTGGTGAAATAGTTCAGAGCCCATAGTACTGCTGCTGCTTTTCTACACAGACTTACCAAAGGGAACCATAAATTTGATTATTTAGTATTTACAGCCTTTGACACAGATTCACGGTTAATACAGAACTCAGTCCCCCATTTTCTTTCTATTTATTACCTGAACAACAGTACAGAATTCTATACAGAAACTTTTTCCTCGTATCGCCTCCAAGTACTTCCTCAAAAATATTTTAGTATCCGGATTCGCCAGGAAAGCCCTAGTGAATGTTTCATTTGGAAGGCTCCCCAGTCCTTTGACCATTACAAAATTTCCCATTGATACCAGTGCCGTTCATGATCTACTCCCAGTTAAGGATGTCTGTGATTTATGGAACTCTTAAGACAAATAGCATGTCTTCACTCGTTTTCAATTTGTTTGCAAAATTCACTTCCCAGTACTCTTGTGCACACCCCTGTCCTCATCCTGCGCAAGTTGGGAGAGGAGTCCATGGACCGAGTAAACTGTGTGGAATATACGGTAAACTGAGCTGAATGTACACATGCAACAATACATATTTTCTTGGGTTCCTTTCAATGCAGGTGTGCAGTCACCCACGTCCCTGGGTGGCACGTAAGCCTCGTCACGTTTTCACCAATACCCACTCTCACACATTTGGCTTTAAAAACAGACTTGTGAATAATATGTGGGCCTGTTTCATGCCCTGTTGAGGTAAAGCTTCTCAGACTGTCCAAGGAACAATAACAAAGTATTTCTTGATTACCTAAGCACATAAGTGTGCAGACTAATTTTTTTTTTTTTTTTTTTTTTTTAAAGCAGCCAGTGGTTTTCACTTGTTTAAGGCATTTACATCATGTAGAAATATAACACAGCTTTGAAGTTCCTGGCCACAGCCCTTGCACGTTCTGCCAGCTGGGGCAGCTGGGCTGGAGCCCACTGGAAGCTGCTGCACCCAGCACCTTCAGGCCTGCCAAACACAGCCCTCCCCAAGTTTCAAAGGGTCATCACTTGTTCAAAGCAAAGGCAATTAAAGGCAATTGCCATCCCTCAAGGCAGTAGCTGTTCCCACTTGTCTGGCACAGCACACAGCAAGTAAGAGAATATTTTCTGATAATTGTTCGGATAGTAATAATAAAAAGCAGGATAACCACAAGATTGTCTCTTAGTGAGCACACTTGCCATTCCTTGTTGAAACTGGTCCCTCAGATTCATTTGCTATGGGGTTACTAAGGCTAGATATTCCCCAGGGGAGAAGGAGACTTAGTCAGCGTGAGATAGATTGTGCTTTTACTGATCTGCCTGCAAAAGAAAAATACTATTTTAAAAGAGACTCTACTGGAAACACATCATGACTGAAGCACCTCAGATGAAAGTGTGGAGAAGTTCTCAGTGACAGATGCCACCGGATCAGAGCTCAGACTAGCAAATGGTCACTATTCTCTGTAAATATTTTGCACTGTTGTACAGTCATCTGTCTAGAATCTCAGAGTGTTTTATGAATATTAACATAGAACAAGTTACATTACCTTAAGGTCTTTTATGGAGATGGGAAGTTCGTCATGGAGAATATCAGCAGCTTTTCTGAATCATGGCACAACCAGGATTAGGCGTAAAATTTCTTAATGCTAGGCTCCATCCTTTAAGCCCAAAATTATTCTGTTTTATTCTCTAGTTGTTTTTTGCAATATCAGCTAGCAGTGTAAACAGCTAAATGAGTGTTTCTTTTTAAAATTTATGAGGATTGCAGAGAAGGAAAACACAGTGTACAGAGTTTGGGGCGATTGCTTCTTTTCTATTCTTTGTTCTGGTCAGTGCCGGGCACTTCATACCACTAAGATCTCTACCACAACTTTTTAATGGTGATAACTCAGATTGCTCACTTTCCCATGCTACATTTAGAAATACAAATTCCCTCCTGGCTCACTGATGTACAGAAAGGGAGAAGAGTAATCCGTGGAAGCTCAGCTGCTCTTCAGCCATGCCAAGGAACTCCTAAACCTCATTACAGACAGCTTAAACAGCAGAAAAGTTGGTC